ATTATATTTCTTCTTTTGTGGTGGGAACAATTAAGATCTAGCCTATACAGATTTTCAGATATAATGATGTACATCTGAAATTTGTATAATGTTATAAACTAAAGTTACCTCAATGAAAAAAGAGATCTAGTCTCTTAGGAACTTTGAAGTTTATAAGAGAGTATTGTTGTCCAAAATCACTATGCTGTGCATTAGATACGTAGGATTTATCTAGTAGTTACAAGTTTGTACCCTTAAACAACATATCTCCAATTCCTCCATCCCCTAGTTTCTGGTAACCACCATTCTATTTGCTGTTTTTATGAGTTTGGCTCTTTTAAAATCCATGTATAAGTGATATCACACAGTTTTGTCTTAACTCTGTGACTTATCTTACTTAGGTTAATGCCGTCAAGGCCCATCCCTGTTGCTGAACATGGTAGGATTTCCTTATTATGACTCAGTATATTCCAGTGTGTGTGTGTGTGTGTGTGTGTAGGGGGGGGTCTGTGTGTGTGTGTATATAACATCTTCTTTGTCCACTCATGCATTGACGGACATTTAGGTTGTTTACCCATATCTTGGCTATTGTGAATAATGCTACAATAAACATGGGAATGCAGATGTCTTTTTGTATTCTTTTTTCATTTCATTTGGATATATACCCAGAAGTAGAATTTCTGGATCACATGGTAGTTCTCTTGTTAATTTTTGGGGAAAACTCCATACTTTTTTCCATAGTGTCCTAAGCGATTTACATTCCCATGACATTGCACGAGGGTTCCCTGATCTCCACATCTTTGCTGACACTTGTTGTCTTCTGAATCTTGATGATAGCCATTCTAACATGTGTGAGGTGATATCTCATTATGGTTTTGATTTACATTTCCCTGATGATTAGTAATACTGAGCATTTTTTAATGTTCTTTTTGTCCATTGAATGTCTTCTTTTACAAAAAATGTCTATTTAGTTTTACTGCCCATTTTTTAACCAGGTTGTTTGATATTTGTTATTGAGTTGTAGGAGTTCTTTGAATTTATTAGGTAATAACCTCTTATCCGATATATGGATTGCCACTATTTTCTCCCGTTTTGTAGGTTGCCTTTCATTTTTTTACTGTTTCTTTTGCTGTGTAGAAGCTTTTTAGTTTGACGTAGTCCCACTTGTTGATTTTTGCTTGTGTTGCTTGTGCTTTGGTGTCCTATCCAAAAAATCATTGTCAAGATCAATGTCAAGGAGCTTTTACTCTTTTTCTTTCTTCTAAGAGTTTTATGGTTTTAGGTCTTATGTTTAAATCTTTAACTCATTTCAAAGTAAGTTCTGTGAGTGGTGTAAGTAAGGGGTCTGGAGCTTTCTCTGCCTTTGCATGGGTCACCTGCTCCACTCTTCTTGCTCCCTCTGGTGGCTGAATTCTTAAGCTATTGTGTCTTTGGTTTTTACCACTATTAGAAGCTAGCTGCTGGAAACCTTTTCTGTTTCCAGAAGGTGGCACTCCAGCTCATGTTTGTGGTTTCTCCCTTGTCCACAGACTGGCTCTATTTTTCTGAGAGCACGCAGTTTACCATATTTTCGCTCACTGCTACATTCAGGAACCTGCACAAGCAGCCAGTTGCAGAGCGTGGAGAGGCGCGGGTTTCGCACTGGAGGCTTGGGAGTTCCAGTGGATGTGGTGGAGAGATCTTCTGTTGAGGTACTCCTAGAGGCTCATGGATAGACTTCCTGCTGAAGTCCTGAGACCCTGTGCCCCTTTAATGCCTTTTGTTATTCCTCTCTGCCTCTTACTTCATCTCCCTTCTCTGTCCACTCATGGTCCATCCACCTCTGTAGTCGACATACCTCTAGAGAAGCATGGGTTCACTGGCTGTGTCCAGCACTGCTGGGGTAGCCTGGACACTCATTCACTGCTCTTTTTCCCTGGCTGGGGAGTTTTCCACTGCTGAATATTTCAAATTCTGAAGTATTGCCTTGAAGGGGTTGGTCCTGGGAAATCTCCTTTTACTGTCTCCATTGTGACAAAACTCACACCATTTTTCTGCTCCAGTAATGTGCTCCAGTAATGTGCTCCCTTTCAGGAAGACTGGGCTTACACAAAGTCTCCCTCATTCATGGATGTCTCCCCAAGTCAGCATTCTCCAGGCTTCACCTGACCATGGCCAAGATGGTTTGGGGCAAGCTTGCCGGCTCCTGCTGGCTCTGCAGCCCATAACAGGGTCTGTCTGCATATTACTGCATGCACAGGTGGGCGAGATTCCTCCTGGGTCCCTTGGCCTTTGGTACTGGATAACACAACTCCCAAAAAGGCTCTTTTCTGTATGGTTGGATGTCCAATTCATTATTACTAAAGCAAGATGGAAAGGAGGAACATCTTTCATCACTGTGATGCTCATGACACTCCTTCCCCTGATAATTTTTAATCTCATCCTTCTACTTATGTGGACATACAGCCTAAATATCATCACTATTGTGATGTCAAAAAAACTCCAATTCAAAATTTTTGTTTAAAGGAATTCTGGGTTGGTGTTGCCCCCAAGGTATCTGAAAGTCATATAAATCATTTCTGAAGAAACAAATTTTTAAACTCAAGGATCAATGATCCACTGATAACTTTTAAAGAAACATGAACTTAAGATAAAAAAATCACTAAGCACACCAATAAACAGATCACTTTTGGTAATAGTCAGGAATATCATTAAACTATGGAATCAGACTTGCAAATCTATGTGTTTAAATTATTAGATGATAATTTCAATAAGTATGTAGAATATGTTTAAATGAAGGATACTATGCAAAGTATGATGAAACAATAAGAGATTATCAAAACTGACCATTTGGGAAAAGAACAAAATGGAACATCTTGTGAGAAAACAAAATATTATGATTGAAATTTGACATGAATGGGTGAATTAAACAGCCAATTAGCCCAACTTATGATAGAATGAGTTCACTGGAGGAGATCTGTAAAAATTAAATAGAACACAGTAGAGAAACACAAATAGTGATTATTTCAGGGATGTACAGGGTAGAGGAAGAAGACTCAATATACTTCAAATCGGGGTTCCAGAGGCGTGTAATGGAAATATAGAGGCAACTTTCAGAGTACTATCTGTGTTTGGTAGACAGCACACAATGCTTAAGGTTACTGTGTTGAGTGAATGGACATTAGAGGAAGCTTGACTATGTCCATGAGTAGAAGGAGAAGAGCAGTATACATGAACAGTGTACAGTGTAGCTGCTCAATAAATCTTTGTGTTGTCGTGATTGCTGGTTACGATAATCATGGTGATGATGATGAAGAATGCAATTTTCTGCTCTGTTCTCAAAAATTCTCCTTCCATTCATTCTCACTGTGGACAGAACCACACCTAAGTCTGAGATGGTAAATACATAGTCTGTCTGCTGCCATTTCTCCTTCTGTGCTGATGGCAAATATCTTGACTTTCTTTTCTAATGAATCTCTTCATTCCTTCAGAATTCTTCTCCAAAGAGTTTGCCATGAAGCAATGAGTAATCTGATTTGGGGAAATGAACCCTTTTTCCTTATTTCTCAGGCTACACCTTGTCCTTCTATGGGGATTTTCTCTTTTCGTTTATTTTTGGAACTAGAGGTTGGGAATTGGTTGTGAAGAAGGAAGACATTGTTGTTGGCTAATGCTGACAAATATTTGTAGTTCATAGACATAGTTTATTCCATTAATGTCACAGCCTTTCTCCAAGGGAATCTCCAAGATGTCTACTTTTGCCTGTATATGGAACTACCAGGCTACATTTGACATCTATTTTCTAGCTTTCACTACTTCTCATGATTTTCATTCTATTTTGAGTTCATCTGAATACAGATGTGTTTGTGTTGGGAGATGTTCTAATGACCATCTGGAGAGATGATAGGGATAGCATCTTGATGATGGCATACAGTGCCTGATGGAAAAATATTCTTTTCGTTATTTAGGATTTGGCCTGAAGACTTGGTGCTTACCTTCCCTGGACAAGCTCCAAAAAAAACAAGAGAAAGAATTTCCAGAAATCCTGCCTGAATTTCCTAATCCCCATGTCTATTGCCTAAGCATCCAAACACTTACATGAATTCAAGTCATTGTACTTTGTAGGAGAAGCCTTGAACCTAGGAACCCTAAATAGAATCAAGGGTGATTGAGAATCCAATAAAACCCTATGTGGAGGTGGTAAGTGTTTGCTATTTGCTGGGTAGAGATTCCAGCATTTCCAACAGATTTTCCAAGTATCACTGACCCAAGAAGATCAAGAATCACTGTCATAGACAGTTTAACTAGTATCTCTGATTTGAGGAAATAAAAATCTGTACCTGCTGGGACAGGCACATAATGTGTCTTACAACCTGGTTTTATCTAACTTCTTAGCAGCCCTCCTAGGCCCATTAAGTTGCTTAAGTCACATCTGGATCCAAGCTTCTTCTTGGTGTGCGACTCTTCCCACCACCGCGTTCCATTATTCTTATATCTCTCAAGGCTTTATGAAAACAGAAAGATGGTTACAGAATTATCCACTTTCTCTGATTATAGATTCATTGAATATTAGTTCCCAAGGGGATTTTAAAGAGTACCTACTTCACCATCCTCACTTGACTATGAGGTCTAGCATGATTCAGGGCTTTTTCAAACACTGAAGTAATTTTAGAGCCACAGATGAGCAGAATCATTCTGTTTAACCGTATAGATAGATGACAGTATTTTCCTGATTTAGTCTATTTCCAATTCTCATATATTTGTAAAATCTGAAATGAGAAAACATGAAATTAAGACATTTTAGGAGATTATGTACTAACAATGTTCATTTGCTGTCTTTTGTACCAAGGAGAATGACAGTATTTATGCAAGAGATCTTTTCAGTTAAGTTTGGTAATTATACATGGAAGACACGGATTAAATCAACACTGGTGACTTAAGATGTATATCTAGTCAGTTGCATGACTGGATACAAATGAAGAGCATTTCTTTGTATTTTTTGAAAATGAAACAATTTCCCTTTTTCGTCTTTTTCTCAGCAGATGGTACCAAGCAGATCCATGGACAGAGAAAGAAATCACACCTCTGTGGTCATGTTTGTTCTCCTGGGACTGTCAGATGAAAAAAGGGTGCAGCTTATCCTCTTTCCAGTCTTCCTGGGGATCTACCTTCTGACCCTTGTCTGGAACGTGGGTCTCATCATCCTAATCAGAATGGACTTCCACCTGCACACACCTATGTACTTTTTTCTCAGTTTCTTGTCATTTATAGACATCTGCTATTCCTCTTCCATCAGTCCATGGATGATTTCAGACTTCTTAAAGGACAAAAAAATGATTTCCTTCATTGCCTGTGCCACCCAGTATTTTGTTGGCTGCTGGATGGCTCAGGCTGAGTGCTGCCTCTTGGCCGCCATGGCCTATGACAGATATGTTGCTATTGGTAGGCTCTGCAGCACTCAGCCGTCATGGCTCCCGGCCTCTGTCAGAAGATGGTTGCTGGGGCCTATGGGAGTGCTTTTGTTGGTAGCTTAGTTCAAACTGTCCCTTGCTTTCATCTCTACTGCTGTGGGTCAATTATCATTCAACACTTTTTTTGTGACACACCCCAGATTGTTTCCTTGTCTTGCTCTGATCCCTTCATCAGCCAAATGATTCTTTTTCTGTTTGCTGTTGTTGTTGGATTTGGTTCTTTGCTTGTTATCCTCTTATCCTATGGTTTCATTGCAGCTTCCATCTTGAAAATGTTCTCCATCAAAGGTAGTGCCAAGGCCTTCAATACCTGTGCCTCCCACCTGGCAGTTGTTACTCTCTTCTATGGAACAGGCCTCTCAGTGTACATGCATCCTAGCTCTAGCCACTCCACGAAGCAGAACAAGGTACTCTCAGTGTTCTACGTTATTCTTATTCCCATGTTAAACCCTCTTATTATAGTCTGAGGAACAAGGAGATCAAAGAGGCCCTCAAGAGGGTGATAAAGAGGGCAACACATTTACTTCACTAAGAATAACATCTCTGCTGATGTTATTTCCCCCTTAAGGAAAGCAGGGGTAAGAATATTTAAGTAATCTTTTGTAGGTCACAAGAGTAGCTAGGTTAAGAGAAGTGACGACCTGGTTTCCTGGAATCCTGATGACATAATGTTTAGCTGCCACCACCAAGTAATCCATCTTATGCAGTGTTACCAACATTGAATTCAGTTTAAAAATCTTGCTTCCATGGTTCGAGTCAGGTAGATAAAACTCTATGTTTTGAGAATAGAAGCTCTGATAGCTATTTTATGTAGATAAATGACAGGAACATAGGAAGCCACACAGACAGTTCTTTCCTCTACTACTTTTAAAATGTCTTTTAATTATTTTTAATTTTTAAGCTTTTTTATATTTAAATAGAAATAAAATAAAGTATAAAATTACATATGTGTAAGTTAGAAATAATTTTAAAAATGAATGCTTTGTCACCTTAATTCCAACACAGAGAGAGAAAGTCAGTGTGAGAAAGAGGACACAGAAAGAGATAGCTGGAAGGAGAGAGAGATACAGACAGGAAGGGGAATGAGCGAGGGAGAGGAAGGGAGGAAATGAGACAAAAGGAGAGTAGAGGGAAAAATATTTGTCTGGCTTTATTCTCAAATAGCCTTGTTCCCTCCATCTAACTTTTTGCAACTCCTTGTGAAGTGTATTGTGAAAAACAGATGGGAAAAAGGAATGGCAGAAAGAAGGGACGCTTTTCAGGTCAAGAGTTGAGGAGATTCTCAGAGGTTAGAAATTAGTCAAAGTCATCAATTTCTGGGCATAGGTGGCCTGGAGCATGCTCCATGGTGGCTTCCCAGAGACCATGCAAGACTCAGAAATGAAGGCTGTCATGGTATATCTAAGGAGGCAGAGTCTGAGTCCTAGAGATTTGAGCCTCCCAGGAATTCCAGGTCCTTAAGCACGACCAGGGAGCAGTAGAGTCAGTTGACTTGGGGGTACCATGGAGACTCAGAGTTCAACCGAGAGAATTTAAAGATAATTTTAGAAAGAGAGATTTTTTTCAGACAAGAGTGTATGGCATAATCTTCATACATATTACATTAGTACTTATACAACACATTATACTTCATGTAGTTACATTGCATAGTTATGATTGTTTTCTATTACCATGTGCAGTTGGCAGGTGAGAAATTATCCCCATTTTATAGATAGAACCTTGGGGCATATTGAGCTCTGCCATCTTCTTCCCAGTGTAGCAAAATCCATATTGAGGCTCACAAAGTGTCATATGTGGAACATAAATGGTTCTTACTGACCACAAACATGTCCTCTATTGTTTGTTTAGGGTGCCTAATTTCTTTCTTTCCTTCTTTTCTTTTTTTTTGTTGAGGCTGATTTGCCCTGAGCTAACATCTGTTGCCAATCATCCTCTGTTTTGTATGTGGGCCGCCGCCACAGCATAGATGCTGATGAGTGGTGTAAATCCACGTCTGGGAACCAAACTCTGGCTGCCTAAGCAGAGTGTTCTGAACTTAAACACTAGGCCACAAGGCTGGCCCCAATGGCCCCCAATTTCTGTACTTTTGGTGTTATATCTTTAAAACCATCTTTAAAATCTGTTCAGTTAAAAAAATTATTACAGTTCTTATCAGAATGAATATGTAATTACTAACTGATTAGCAAGTGCTAAATCAAATAATTAACTCATTACCCCATCCACCTCTTTCTCCCTAGAAGTAAGATTAGCTGAAGTAGATCAAACCATGAATGGGACCTTCCTAGAACATCTATGTATCCCTAGTAATTGCAGGGTAGATGAGCTTCATTTAGAAAAAGAAAAAAAAAAAAAACTAAACTCAAAAGTTTGTGGGAATGATATTAAGTTGATATTTTTAAATGAAGGATTAGTAATGCAGCATAATACGTTGGAAAGAACTCCTATTCAGAACACATATTGCACCTACTTTAGTAGAAGGCATGCTGTGTACTTCACACTCTGGTAAGTGCTTTATAAGCATTATCTAATTCAATTCTATAAAGAGCTACTCTATGAAGTTGCTGATACTATCAGCCCCATTTTATAGGTGATAACAGTGATGTTTGCAAAAGTTAATTTGCCCAAGGTCACACAACCAGGATATAGAAAGCTGGAATTGAACCCAGACTAGCTGATAACAATGCACATGGTATTGACCATGATGATCTGTGACTTTGTTATGAATCAGTTTTATTGTATTCTTTATTGCTTCCATGTCCTCACTTATGCATAGGAAATCATGCCATGTCTGCCAGCCGGGGCTGCTGTGATAATTGATTCAGGTCAGGGAGTTGAGAAAGTGTGTATATCTAAAATGAAAGTGCTTTGTAAACAGGGAAATGCAGCCTATGGACGTGGTATCCTCAGTAGCTAAGTTCAAACGGTCCCTTGTTTTCATCTCTACTGCAGTGGGCCCAATAGTATTCAACATTTGTTTTGTGTGTGACATACTCCAGGTTATCATCTTGTCTTGTTCTAATCCCTTCGTCAGCCAAATGATTCTTTTTCTGGTAGCTGTTTTTGCTGGACTTGGTTCTTTCCCAGTTATCCTCTTATTCTACAGCTTCATTGAAGCTTCCATCCTGAAAATATCTTCTGCTAACGGTGGTGTCAAGGCCTCAATACCTGTGCTTCCCTCCTGGCAGTTGTGACACTCCTCTATGGCACAAGACTCTCTGTGCACCCGCATCCTAGCTCTAGCAACTCTGAGAAGCAGGGCAACGTGCTGTCTGTGTTCTACGTTATCTTTATCCCCAAGTTAAAGCCTCTTAACTGTAGTCTGAGGAATAAGGAGATCAAAGAGGCCCTCAAGTGGGCAGTCAAGAGGCTAATACATTTATGAACAATATTTGTGCAGGTGTTATTTCCCCCATAAGCAAGACAAGGGCAACAATACTTAAGTGACTTTTGTAGGTCACAAGATAGCCCGTAGAGAGAAGAACTGAAAACATGTCTCCTTGATTCCTGGTGCCATTATGTTTAGCTGTCACCACCAAGTGATCTGTTTGAGGCAGTGTCACCAACATTGAGTTCACTTTAAATGGTCTTTGTCCATAATTAGACCCAGGTATATAAAACCTTGTGTTTTGGGAATAAATGTTCTGATAGATACTATACGTAGAGAAATGATAAGAACCTAGGAAGCCTCACAGTTGGTTCTTTCCTCATTGATTTTCTCTATTTCTTTTATTTATTTTTAATTGTTAAGCATTTATTTATTTTTCAATAAAAATAAAATAAAATCTATAAAATTTGATATGTGAAAATTAAAAACATTTTTTTTGGAAATTATTTTATTGATGGTCCCTCCAGCAGTGGTAGCAACATCCAAGGCGTGAATATCCCTGGCGGGGCAGGGTGCCCTAATCTGAAGTTTAGAGCAGATCACCAGCATACATGCCAGCCCCAGAGACCACAGGGTGTGGCCCCTGTCTCATAGGAAATCATGACATGTGTTCGTCACAGGGCTGCTGTGATGATTGATTCACATCAGGGAGTTGAGAATATGTATGTATGCATATATCTAAAATGAAAGCCCTTTGTAAACAGGGAAGTGTCCACATATCTAATTTATTGTTATCAAGCTATATTACCAGCCATCTGTGTCATCTTTGACAAATCTCTTAGTTCCTTTGTCTTCAAGTTCCTCATCTTGAAAATGATGGTATTAGACCAGAAGATCTCGAGGTCATTTCCAGCTCAAAAGATTCCAAGTTTCTTTAAAGAAAAGTGATAATCACGAGATCATAATAGGACCATAGGGAAGTGGGGAATTGAATCAGAAGGGACATGGCAAAGTGGGACATGAAATTATCGGGGAAAAAACTCCATGAGAACCATGACTCCAGAAAGCAAGTACCTGGAGAGTTTTCTCCCTCTAATTGTCTTTTCTCCTTTCACCTCTGCTCTAAAAACACATTTAAGAGGATCCTCAGTTGTGGGCATCTGTCTGGCTGTGAGTGGACAGCCAATTTCACAGCCAAAACCACCCATCTTGGAGTGCAATAGAGACACTTGGAAAATTCCTTTGAAAAGCAAATAAGCAGTTTGAACCTCTGGCAAGAACTCTTTCTTCCAAGAGAGTCTGGGTCAAGGTGAGAGGGCAAGATTTATAGAAAACTGTGGTCTGTGCTATCTCAATATCCATGTGATTCTTCCAGTAGCACCTAAGTGGAGCATGGATCATGGTCCTCAGTCTCTCCCATTCTCTACCCCTTCTTTCTTACTTCTACATCCTTCACTTAGGGCTCTTCCTCAGATTCTCTTTCTCCTTACTCAAATTCTCTCACCTTCAGTGAAAAGAACAATCTCTAATCTAAAATGTCAGTATTACTCTGGGGTGAGTGGCGGATGTTGAGTTCTAGTTTTGCAATTTCTTAATGATTAAGTTTTGTTTTTCACCTGTAAAATGGGGATAATAGGATTATCTAGTCTAATGAGACAACGTCTATAAAAGCCGTTTACTTCGTCCTTCCCAGTTTGGATGTCTTTTATTTCCTAATCTTGCTTTTTGTGCTAGTTAAGACTGGCAGTACTATGTTGAAGAACGGTGGGGAGAATGAGCACCCTTGTCTTGTTCCTGATATTAGAGGAAAGCTTTCAGTTTTTCACCATTGGGTATAATGTTAGCTATAAGTTTGTTTTATATGGCCATTATCATGTTGCGCTATGTTCCTTCCATATCCAATTTTTGAGTTTCAATCATTAAAAGATCTTCTATTTTATCCAATGCTTTTTCTTCATCTATTGAAATGATCATTTGATTTTTATCTTTCATTCTATTAATGTGGTATATCACATTTATTAATTTGTGCATGTTGAACCATCCTTCCATCCCAGGGATAAATCTCAGTTTGTCATGGTGTATAATCCTTTTACTGTGTTGTTGTATTCAGTTTACTAATACTCAATTGGGAATTTTTACATC